GATTTGTTTCTTTTCTCTAACTGCTTGTAGAACTTTGTTCTTCTGTTGGGTTTCTGGAATCTTAACAATTATATGCCTATGTGTAGATTTTTTTGATCAATGCTAGTTGGAGTCCTATATGCCTCACTTTTCTGTATTTCAAGTTCTTTCCCCCTATTTGGGAAGTTTTCTGACATTACTTCTGTGAACAGTTTTTTTATGTCATCTGCACTCTCTCCTGTTTCTTCATTGACTCCAATCAGTCTTATGTTCTTCTTTTCATAATCTAGCTACTGATGGACTGATTTCTCATGGTCCCTTACAATTTTCAAGCATTTTTTCTTTCCCTGGTCTCTTACTACAATCTTAACCTCTGTATCTGAAATTCTGTACTCACATTGGCTCATTCTGCTGTGTAGACTTTTAATGGAGTTTTTGATCTTGTGGAAATCTGTTTTCATCTGTTTTATGGATTCCATTTTGTTACCTATGTTGGGATTCCATCATGTTCCTCAGCTCCTCTCTAGATTTATCAATCACTTCTTGGACTATGAGCACCATCTCTGCTGTTATCTGAGAAAAATTTTCTGATTTCATTTTTTCCAGATCCTCTTTTGTTGCCAGTTCAGGGAGTTCAGGTGGTTGAATATTAGAGTGTTCCATCTCATTTCCCTTTGGGGTTGCTGTAGGTGATCTGGAAGTCTGGTTTTCAAACTTATTTAGGCATCTTCTCATTTCAACAGGGGGATGCTGTTGGCACCCACACAGCTCACCTCCTCTGGGCTGGGAGTGAAGGAATGCCATCATCTGGGAGGCCCCTATTTCTGCACTGGGAATGGTAGAATGGTGGTTTCTTAATGGTAGTCGTTCTTTTTGAATTGAGAAGGAATTTTTTTAAATTTGCATATGTTGAATGTCAAGTAATGGCCAGTGATGTTGAACATTTTTTTCATGTATTTATTTGCCATTTATATTTATTCATCTGAGAAGTGTATAATCATTTCATATGACCATTTTTTAATTAGATCTTTAAATTTGAGTTTTTGAGTTCCAATATTTTGAGTTCTTTACATATACAGTAGTATTAAATTTTTGTAACAATTTAAAAGAGTATCAGTGTAGTGAATTATTCTATGAATGGGACCTAAATATGAAAGTAATTATTTAAATTATTTAGAATCTCTTTAATAGCCTTCACTATGGTTTCTTAACATTCAAAGCATAGGCTGCACACTATTTTTTGTTAGGTTATTTCCTCAATTGATTCACAGTTTTGTTTATATTTCAAATAATATATTTAAAAATTTTATTCCTTTATAATATAGAAGAGGCAGTTTAAATGTTTTGATCTTTTTGCTATACTATTAAATTAATTTTATTAACTTTTAAATACATTTATTTAGATGTTCTATGGAGACAATTACAGTACTTACTAATAATTACAGTTTTGTTTCTTTTTTTCTAATGCTATGTAACTTACTGTTAATGTTTGCTAAGTAAATAAGCAACTTCACAGTTTTGCATAGAGGTCATATAGATTCACATTTAATATGTAGGATTTATAATTTTAAATAGTTTTATAACTTTAGTATCCATCAACACCACCTTGAAGCTTGTTAAAATAAAGACTGATGGACATTACACACAATATTTTTCATTCTGATATGCTAAATCTGCTGTTGTATCTGAGAATTCGTAATTATGGTTTCTTCATACCGATGATGTGACAATTTTCTACAAGATGATAATGATTGTAGCCTTTCAATATCAATCAGAATAATACTGGTTCACACAACTGTAACTGAAATCTCAATTATTCTGTTATTAAATCTATGGCCAAGCTCTCCATTTTTCTCATGTGGAGAAGCTACTGGGGGAATAAGATTGGTAAGTCCCACATTGTCCCTTGCAAGTTGACAGGCTACTGTGGCTATGTGCTGGTGTGTCTGATTCTGGCCCCTAAGGGCTCTGGCATTTTCTCAGCCCCTGTGCCCAAGAAGTTCCTGCTGATAGCTGGGACCAATGACTACTACACCTCTGCCAGGGGCTGTACTGCTACTCTGAGCAACTCTGCTAAGGCCACCTTTGATGCCAACTCCAAGATGTACAGCTACCTGACCCCTGACCTCTGCAAAGAGCCTGTGTTCACCAAGTCCCCCTACCAGGAATTCTCCGACCGTTTGTGAAAACCTACACCAGAATCTCTGTGCAAAGAACTCAGGCTCCAGCAGTGGCTACAGGATTTTGCACAAGAAAAGTAAAGTGAACAAAATCTGGAAAAAAAAAATCTGTGACTTTACTAGAGTCATTTCAAATACTAGTTTTTGAAGCTAGTTGCAAATGATATAAAACACTGATAATATAAGGTTAATAGTTTTTATCTTAAAGATATTTCTAATGGTTAAACATAGCATTATAAAATACTTTTATAGTAGAGATTTTAGTACAAAATATTGTTCTTTCTTTTCTTTTTTTTGTATCAACAGGATTATGTCGAGAGACGGAGGAAGGGGAAAGGAAGGATAGGAAAGAGGAAGCAAAGATTAAGATGTGATATATACATGTACTGAACAAAAACTAATAAACATACAAACAAAAAAATAGTATCATCAATTATACAAAATGGATTAAGGAGATGTTTCCACAGAGCCCCAATGGATTGCAGATAGAATTGGGAATTATCATTCCTGAGGAGGGTGCATTCTGTAAATTAGAATTTTTCCATAAAGTTTTTAACCCTAATCTTTCATTCACAACATTGATAATAATGAAAAAATAAAGTAGAATTCTTGTGTAAATATTTATATTAAAGCTAAGTTATAATTATTTGTGGGGAAAAAATGTTAAAATTAGTCATAAACTGGTCAATTTAAACATATAGCTTACAAATTATCATCACAGAATTTGTTATATTGTGTTACATCAATCCTAAAATTCATTAAATGTGTGTTGTATACAGCCTATAGGTTGTATGCAGGCTGTTTGTTGTGTGTTTTCCAATAGAAATCAACAGATTTAAAATAATAAAAGAACAAGTTTCACCTAACTTTCCCCTTGACATGTAAGAGTGTAATTGGTCAATATATCAGAAACATCAAGAGACCTGCTTGACTAAAACAAGTAAGTCTGACACATGTATCTTTCCAAAAGAGGTGTAAAGGGACTCATTTTTATGTCATCAAAGTTTATGAATAGATAAACCAGCATCACTGCATTGCTTTATAAAACTGGTCTAATTAATTTTTAGTCCTCTTACTTGAGAATAAAAGTTAATTTGTTGCTTGCCCATTCTGTCTATATATGTAGTAAATCATCAAGCTAGCAGAATAGCAAACCACAGGAAAATAGCATTTCTATTCTATTTACTGGATTCGAGAGAAAGCACTATAAACTTAATTAAATTGCTGGATGTTTTAGGAGCTATTAATTATAAAGATAATAAAAATAATGCCACTATCACAGTACTTTATGGGTATACAGTGATTTATTTCTTGAGAAAACATTTTGTATTGGGCTAGATCAACAAGGATCACAGACCTGAGATTATTCTTTAGCTAATGAGAAGTAAGAACTGTTGTCCATAGTAACACCAGTACGAGCTTTTGCATATAATATATAACTTAATTCACTGTTGTTCAAACTAATCATATTCCTCAAGAGATCCTGCTATTAAAGTGAGCTTTTATAAAGTTTAATCGTAAGGTCCAAGCATGTCAGAAAAATTAATCAAGAGTTTTAAAGACCACACTTTTCTTTAATATTAAGAGAAATGAACAAATGGAGAAGTGTCAACTTTTTAAACTATGAGTTGCTGTAGCATTTCTATCAGTGGTAGGATGTAAGTCTTTATTTCTTCAACATCCTTCAAAAACTCATAGATGCACATCTCAAATTTCCTATCATATTAAACACAATTGTTCATAAACCTGGATCTAATGCATTATGTATGCATACATTTTTCATTAAATACATATTCATTAGTTAACTAAAAATTTTTAAATTAATACTAGTCTCCAACTTAGAATTACGATAAAAATGAAAGGCTTGAAAAAGAAAGAAAAGTTGAAGGGCTGGCTTGTCTTCAGAGGGAGGAAATAGGGACACTGAGGTTTTTTTATACAATGATAAAAGGATTTTTACTCACATGTGTTTTTATCCACCCAGTACCTTTAGTAGGAACTGACACTTCTTTCAGAGAAAGCCATTTATCCTTGGCTTTTCCAACCCATTCCTACTCAGAAATATAATATAATAGCAGAATAATAATTAGAAAGCTACCATTGGGCTGAAGTCATAGATTTTTAATTTTTTTCATATTATCTGGGACACTGCATTTTGAAAATAAGAAGCTATATGTTTTCCTCAGAGTACAATATTATTAGTATTGTCTTTAATCTGATTATTATAAAAGAAGCTGATCATGAAATTATTAGTTAACAAGTAATAAATAAATAAAAAGAAATCTGCTTCACTAGAGGTTATAAGACCAGAGTGATAATTTTGATTAAGAAATATATAAAGTATAATTTTAATGCTAATGTTCTTAGATCAGATCATTAGGTCTATATTGTTGCCTAAAAATCTAACAAAAATTAAGTATGACATGAATATCAATCAATAATTATTATTTAGTTAAAATACACAATTATTTGCCTTTCTGTATTATGATTTCTCTCAAGATGAAATTCATTTACTATATTAATATTTTCCAATTTTTAATGAAACTAGGTGATGTTTTATACTATCAAGTGTATCAGTTGATGTACAAAAATATTTTTATGAAATATATTTAAGATCTTTGGAAACTAAATATTACAATATTTTCTGGAACTTAATCACAATTGATCTGAATTATAATACATAATAAATTTGTCTTACAAATGACTAAATTGTTTTTACAAAATTCAAATGTGCAAGTTCTATATTTTTTAAATAATAGCTATTAAATACTTTGTTTCATAAACTCTCAGCTATGATGTGTTGATATCTTTCTGTGAAACTAACCCCCCCCCCAAATTATATATACAGGGATCATCTAATTTCTATTTCTTTTTTGCATTAACTCTGTGTCTGTCTTTATGATAATGAGATAATTCTTGTATCTAAAGACCTGGAACATTAGAAGGGAGCAACTTAGTTTGAGATACATCCCTTTTCAAGCAACATATATTAAATGAAATTGATGGAAGAACAAGACTTTCCTGAGATTCACTTCTATTCCTAAAATAGACATGTCAGTGTGATTTTTTTTGACATAGTACAAAGATGTCAGCAGAAGCAATAACTGCCGGTACCAATACACATGCCTAAATTTGATAATGTCACTGCATTTTTGACATCCTAGGTTAAAGTCCTTTTGAGGAATGATTGAGTGAATGACTTGCATTAAAAGTTTTGGCATAGGGCGACCCAGAGGATAGATGTTTCATGACTCTAATCCAAAAGTGATAAGGAATCAGGAGCAGGATAAAGACAGGGAAAAATGAAAAAAAAAAAAAAAGAAAAAATAAATAAGAGCAGAGATTGTCAATTTGCACGAAGTCATATGCATGACTGGAGAGAGCCCCAACCAGAAGAAATGACCAGTGTGAAGGCCTTAATGATGAAGCCTGACTAACAAAAATGTTAAAGTTTGGGCTTGGTGTCATGTGCCTGTAATTCCAGCACTCTGAGAGGATGACTCAGGAGAATCTCAAGTTTGACCCCAGCCTGGACAACTTTGAGGTGTAGGAGACTCTGTCTCAAAAGAAAAGGTAAAAAGAGCTGAGGATGTAGCTCAATGCAATCACAAAAATGCTAAGAACGCAAAAGCACCAGAAACAGTGGTTTGAGGTGACTATAAAACCTCTAAGGAAAGAAAAAAAGAGACAATGTTAAGAAAATGAAGAGTGGGACAGATCACCTGGAAACTTTCAAACCATTACCAGTACTGTAAATTTTACTCTCGCAGTAGTTGAAACTCACTGTGTGTGTGTGTGTGTGTGTGTGTGTGTGTGTGTGTAAGCTTTTAGTCTTACTTTATAGAAAACTCAAAAGAATACCTGGTAAAGTACATGCACTTTGCTCATGCACACACTAAACTTCAAAAGCTTAAAATTTAATTTTGCCTCCAGATATTCACTGTACAGATTATCACTGAGATTTAATAGGGGCCAGTGAACACTACAGCTGTATAAACCTACCTGGAAAAGCCTAAGATACATGCACATTTTCCCAGAAAACTTACTTTCTTTTTCTATTCTCTGACCATTTAAGTTACAACAATATTGCTAGGGCAATGAGCCTGAAAAGAGTGAAAGAAACATGGAAGAATACAGTTTTCAAAAACATTATGTAGATTCATTTTAAATGATATGAAATTATACACCATAGGTTGTCATTTTGTCTGATATGCTTCCTCTACCATGTCCCCAAAACCCTTTTCCACATAAGTACTTCTAATTTTAGGAAAAGCTATGTCTACAAATGATGAGAATTACACATTGGGTGTTGTCAAAACTTTGAATCTACTGATAATTTTCTTACAAGTGTATTCTCACATCTAGGAAAGCAATCAAAGCAGAAAAATATAGCAGGTAACCCTTAAATACTTGTTCACTGACTTTTGTTTTCCAGCATAGGATTTTGTACTTCTTATATTTCTCAAATTACATTAAATATAAATTACAAAGGCTAAGTTAATTTGTGACAAATGAGATGATATGGACTAATAAAATTCACAGGGAAATTGTAGTCATTCAGACCAATGTGTGCCATCTGAATTGATCTCTTCCTTCCCCTTGGGAATATGAATTCAAGCAGTCTTTCTGTGTCTTGGACTCTCTGAGGTACTCTATAATTGGAGATAGCCTTCATCACAAGAGAAAACGGAGCCTTTCAATTGGGACTTTAAGAAGGTTTCTACCTCTCTTGAAAGATAATGAATGAAAACATACTATTCAATGGTCTATCAAGATATTTTTGGATTCTAGTTAGAAAGGGGACTTGAATTAGGTCCTATTTATGCAAAAAAACCTGTCCTGAAATGATATGCTAATTTATATTACTATATCTAAAATTTAGTATGTTCTTTATACTTGTTAAGTCTTAATACTTTCATGTAAATTTTAAATATGCAAATAGTTGGAAAATGTGTCTTTAAAGTATTAAGTTCAAATTATTGCCCTATGAAATTGTAGTTTTCTAC